GCGAAGTAGAAAGCGACTTTGGTGCCAAAATATCTTCTGTAAAAAAGGGGATTAATGCACACTTACAAGAATGCATCGAACGTTCCGAAAAATGCTTAGATTAATACTGTACGATACTTCTGACACACCAGTACTAAAACTTTACTTGAAACTTAGCTAGGCCACTTGTTTGTCAAAAAGTACTGAATTTTACTTTTCAAAGGAGTTGAAGAACATGCAGTGCATGAAAATGAGTAAATTATGACATAAATATCGTGAAAAAGTCACATGTTCTAGTATTGAATCTAAAGCCAGAGAGGTGATGTATTTCAAAGAAGACAAAACAGTGTATGTTCAATAAAAACAAACTTTATGCAGTCCAGAGGCTGATACTTCAGAATATTTCTCCACGACACCCAGTGATTGTAAAGTAGTTCTCGCTGAGACACCTCACCTCCTCTAGGCAGGTGATCCCGAATCGTCTGAACAGAAAACATGGAAAAAAAGACATGAAGACATTTATAATTGAATTCAAGGCCTTCCGAGTAGTTATACCTCCCACACCCTTCTGCTCATGAAAACATTAAAATTTCATCTGAAAACGAAAATGCAGCACCTGATGCAGTGGATAAGCTGCATTGTATACTCCTTGGGCTAGCAGTCGTTCAATACCAAATCGGTACTGAGTTGTACGCTTTCCTCTGTCCGTTACAGAATCATAATGTGCTCGAGTGAGCAAATCATAGACCATTCGTGATCTTTCTGCATTAGGAAACAAAATATCCGGTCGATCCCAGTTAACAAATCTAAAAATGCAATTGTGCCGGAAAGACAATACGATTGTAAAAAAAGGAATGAACTTTGAGCCGTGTATGGATGAATCACGCAAACGTTGCAATTATAACTCACTGTTGCCGACGGTCACTCGAGTAGGGTGCGGTGAAAAAATCCGGCTCCTCCAGTACTTTCTTCACACGCTCATCGAAATCAAATAAACCAGCGCGAGAAAGAATACTGTCTACAAAACCAGGTAGCGATGTTCTGTCCTAAATATGCAATATTCAGGCAGGCCAAGGGGGAACTTGTAGAAATACAATCCTATCGTCGGCATAGGAAGGATCGTTACAAATGCTAAGGCTCGCACCCGAAAATCCACATCGCTTTGTTGAACAGGAAGCTTCACAGAAAGAAGTTGTGCCTGCTTTTCAAGAAGAGCAAACGGTGCATGTAATAATACAAATCGTGTGCGACCGAGCTGAAAATCGAAAGATGTAGCGTTGAAATAGATTCACAGAACAATAGAAACAGTTCCCCTCAGTTCTCCCTCACATCCCATGATATTTGAGATCTCGGAGTCCAGATGTCCTTTCTAGCTTTGCCATCGCAAATGAAACAAAATATTACAACCAGAACCCTCGAATTTTTCCTTATCTTCCATTACATGTCCCATAATTTCATGTCCTTTGCGCATACTCTTCCTAAGCTGCCTCTCTAGCACTATCCGACACACAACTCTCACGGATCTACGACCTTCATGAAGCTCTTCGTAAAAAACATTTACAAAAAAAGCAACACAGAAATCACAGGTATACCTACCGTTGGCGAAATACTAACACGCTCGATCTGCAAACCCATTCGCTGCAGATTACATTCGTAATTGAATCGTCTGATTCGTTTCTTCTCTGATGCGCTCCTCGGCGATAAAGGACTATCCCTCTCCTGATCGTATAAGAACAATCGTATTGTAGTAATGCTTAAAATCACTGTCAGCTTAACAGCGAAACACGATGAGCTGTCAAATAAACGGAAGGCAGTACTAGTATCAGAATATCCTGAACGCCAAAACATGAAAACCTTACATCGACATCATCATCTTCATCTGGATCGATTTCAGCAGGGGATGACCCATCTGTACTGGTAGTTCCATTCGCGGAATCGTCTTCATAGGCGAGTACGTAGTCAATCTG